GAGGAATTAGTCCCAGAACAGAATTCAGGGTTTTGTGATTTCCACTCTGATATTTAGCTCGTGCCTCTCGAGAAAGCAAGGCAAGTCAGGAGTCAGCAGGCGAGGCAACCACGCTGGAATTTTTGAACAAGCCCCCAGCCACTATGTGGTATTTAGGCATCTAGTTAAAAAATCTAGCCCGTAGCAAAGCAAAAGCAATTCTTAAATCCAGTGCTTACTGCTGGCTACAAAGAATAAACCCTCACTTTAGTTCTGAGTAAAAGCGTCTTAACAAAGATTTCATGCCTTCTAATTAATTCACTTTAAGATGACATCAGTGGAATATGCACGAACTTCTCAAATGCAACTACGCAGACTAGCTCTCCGCTTAACCACTCACTGGAGATGGAATTGCACTTCTCTAAGAAGTCTGAAAGAAAATGAAACAGAAATACAAAATAAAAAATACAAACATGACAGTTCTTCAAGCTGACGTTTCCTGGTCACCAATTTAAACCAGAATTAAAATAAGTAAATCAATTCATTCTATTGTTCAGCAGCAGAATGTAATCATATGTTCCGAGAAGCATGAACATTTAAATATTTTAAGACTTTGAAGTCTGTGACAAAGAGTAACAGACATTTCTGTGCAAGTTTAAAAAAACCCCAAATTCAGAGCACAAAAACTGGATTCTCTCCACTTCATGGTAATTCCCCTGCATTCCCTCCCTTCCTCCTTCCCTCCCCTCCAGGGAGGTTAATTGTAAGCAGATTTACAAATCTGAGCATTGCTTCAGTGCACTGAAGCAATCTGGAACAATAATTCTGTGCCTTTATAAACATAATTTTGCTCTCTTAGAGCTCACTGCAGACAAGGTTTATGCCAGTACGGAGGGCTTCTCTGCATCACACCCCGGTGCACAGAGGCGGGGTGTGTCTGAGGGGGACCCCACAGATTATCCAAAACAGTGACAGTCCTTGCAGCCTGCAAATTTTGTAAAAGAGGATGGAAGTGGAAGACCTGCTGGGCTAAGCTGAGCAGTTGGGGCAGAAGGACGCTCCATTTTCTTCCTCCTTGTACCCTGCAATAAATACATTTTAGGTTTTTGTTAAGGGCAGGCTTCACCTTACAAAGCGTACGTTCCAGCACCCCGCTTGAAAGAGTCCATTATTGTTCGAGAGTTTTGCCCAGCTTCCCGCGTGTTCCCCTAATTGCGGGAGGCAGAGTGCCGTACGCGTGACCCCTCGCCAGCTCCCGAGGACCGAGGTCCCTGCATCCAGGCAACAGTGTGCTGCTTGCTGACACCTGGGGTCAGCCCAAGGATGGTGCTTCAACATCAGCTTAGAGATCACGTAATAGAAGGGCAAAGGTTAGTTTCCTAAGGCTCTCCATCACATAATGAGCCACTGTCAGCCGTAGTAGCCTTCTCACTTCAGCGGCAGCAACAAGAAAAAGTAATCCTGTGTGATCACCATTTGTCTCTATGTGTTAATTGAAAAATTAACAGGCTGGAAGGGTAAGAAGGATAGAAATGATTTGGAGTGGGCATTAGAGCCTCAGCTGCACCTACTCACTCCTGAGCACACCCACCCATGAACTGACATGGGACAGGCATACAACAAACCCAAAACCTGATGCAGTGCTGATGGAGGGGCTGGTTCCGGGCCGGCGCACCAAGAGCTGCAGCTCAGATTGCAGGGACACAAGCTCAGCAGTTTCTGAAGGAAGGGGGATCAGATGAAAGACAGCAGGGCTTCATTTCAAGCTGTGTTTTGCCCTGCTGTAGGGTGATAAGACAGTCATCGCTAAGTCGTTTCCCCTCACACTCTTTGTCTTGTCTATTTGGAGCGCAAACTTTTTGCAACATCGGCTGCACAATGGGAGACAGTCCCTACCCTAGTGGGATCTAGTTTCAGCGGGTCCTGCAGATACTATCACAAGGCAAATAGCTCCACTCCTGCCCTGGAGGCAGTCTTGTTATTGACCTCTCTTGATCAGATCTGGGGACTAACATGGGGTCGAAGATAACTTCTTTTTTCCCCACACGAACAAAACAAGCAATAAAGAAATGCAAATTTGGTGCATTCCTTCACCATCTCACTTCATTCTCTAAACAAAGATAAAAGCATAGAAGAAATGCTCTGTACCTCTTCTCTTCCAAAACACTGGACCTCCATTCTTAAAACCTTACTTATCACACTGGCTGGGCAGCCAGTTCTAATCTCTGATGTTTGTGTGTAACGCTCATTAAACCCAAAAGGAGTCACATATGCAAGTACTTCTGCCTGCCCTTTAAAGGCAGAACAAATAAACACAGGACTGTAGCATTTAAGCACAGATTATTCTGTATACTGAGATTTTGCATTTACTCCTCCTTAGCTCCTGGGAACAGACCTTGGGGTTCCTATTTGCAGCTGCCCACCATGATTACTTTCCCCATTTGGGACTGGTTTGAGCATTGTAGGCTTTTTCCTGATGAGATTTCTCTGATACTTTTTTTCTGTCCTTTGTTGGTGGCTCTCACGTTACCACATAACAGAACTGTAAGAAGGCAGAAAACCAAAATGTGAATAAGGTACCAGGGGAAAAGAAACACCTCTACCTGGCAAGAAAAAGCCCACTGACAATTGTGCCTTTGCTTACATAAACTTCTAAAGAAACGGAGTCAAAACCTGGAGACATGTATGAAAGAAGGTCAGATAAGAAAAGAGGTTTTCAAATCTCTTAAGAGATAAAAAGCTCCTGTTTATGAAGGGATAACACGGAATCACTTCAGACTTAGCTCTTAAACCCAGAAGACAAGACACACTGCATTCAAACTGATGACATTTAAAATAATTTCTCTATTCCTTTGCAAACACCTTCTACAGAAATGCAGCCAGAGGACATCCCTCATTCCTCCCCAGTATCCTCTGTTCCCCCTCCAACCTGCTATCCCCCTTTCAGTGCCTGTAAGCGGTTTGAGATAAAGGCAACTGCCAAAGGGCAATTTCACTCAGTTCACCCAAAGAAAAAGGCAGAGCAAAACCTTAATTCTTGCTGGCAAAACTCCAGCTATCCTATGGGAGAAAACAATCAATCACCTGAAAGGCAGTAAGTCTTTATACTTTACCCTAAGTAACTTTGGTTAACATGTTAGAAATACTGCTGATATTTCCAAAACCTACTCTGATGTGACGTTATAGCATTTAGTAAGATTACTACTTCATGTCAGCAATAAAATCCTGAAGAATTCAAGACCAAGAAGCCCTCAGGTGAGAAAAGTGTTTTTTCTTCTCTTTCAAACTGCATCATCCTGTTTTTATCAAGGAAAAAAGCTTCATGTGCACAGATATATATGCGGTCAAATACCTACCAATAAAATCCTCCTCATTCAATCTTACAACTTTGTGCACCTTTGTATTAGCCTACCTTCTCCTTTACTCCCATCATGGTTGCCACAGTAAATCCATACGTCAGTATAGATAAGTGTACTTACAGCACACAAGAAAATTAGAAAACTCAACAAGGGCAGTGAAATCATGGAAATCCTAAGACCTCCTAGCTCCCCCAGTTGCTTGAAACTTGATGTCGGTGCTTTTCAATAACCACAATTTCAGATTTCCCGGAAAAGGTAGTTGGAAATACTGCAAAGTGCTCCTAAAGATGTATCCGATTCTTTTTCTGCTCCTCAACATTCTTCCTCTGAGAGGAGAGGAAGGAGAAGGTGGGAGGAAGAAACAGGATGCGATCAGGAAGGACCAGCGTGATTTCAGGACCTCTTCGTCTCCTGCCCAAGTATGGAGAAGGGAACTACTGGAAAGTCCCATGCAATTCAAAAAGGAGAAATGTTGAGGATGAGAACCGATTTAAATCACAGTTCAGTTATAAATGTTCCATCAGTGTCATTTATTTTTTTTCCTCTGGTCTTAAAGTCTTTCCAAGAAACTCCTGTGGGTGAATTAAAGTAAAGAAGTGGTGTGGAGCAATTTTTCCCCCTCTCTTAAGCACATGCTGCAAATTTCTATAGCGTTGATTATTGGAACTGACCTACTGAAATCAGGAACATCACTGACAGAGCTAAAAACCCTCAACAATCAAACAAGTCACTACACCAAAGACTTTTTTGCTACCACAATCACTCCAGTCAAAAATGAGAAAGTTTCAGAAACATTACCCCATGGGGATTTGAGAATGGCTTTTTTAGCTAAATTTTCATGTGTGATGGTGATATCGATAAACTGGAAAAAGAGAAAAAATCACAGATTTCTACCTAAATATTTTAAAATGTTAATTTAGAGGGCAAAACAGAGATTTCTAGAAAAGAAGGGAGAGGAAAAGTCTTTGGGTTTTTTGTGCACTTGGTAGCACTTTTACATAGTCAGGTTTACTGGCTTTCCAGGTCGAGAAGAGGGTATGACAGCTTGTTTCACCTTTCAGAGAGGCTCCAACCAGCAAGAACAGAAGACTCTAGGCCATTGTACCATCAGTTTTGTAAAATGGCACAAACTGGCCCTACCGCTAAAAGAAGAACCTCTGGCACAAGCACCTCTGGCACAAGCACCTGCACTGGCACGAGGGAGAAGGTGCAGGGCTGAAGAAGACCTGAAACCCAGCTTAAGAAGTCAGTGCTGTTCCCTTTACACCCAAGAAGCCATTTCTAGAGCACATGGGAGATAATCCAATCTTAAAGCAAGTATCTGTGGGTTTGTTCTTTTGGAAATCCTGGAGAGATTACCCACTTGGGCGGTCTCACACCCACACAGGGTGGCCACGCCGCACAAGCAGCGTGTTGCACTAAAAGTTCTTAATTTAGATTTAGATTTAATTTAGATTTGCAGCACTTAGGCTGCAAAGTTAAGGACTCAAAAGCTTGTGCAGTATAGGTCTGAAGTTGTGTACAAAATTCATACTCCTTTTCTCTGCCTATGAATGCAGATACTGGCTTCAATCACATAATTGCATAATATTTTTCTTCCTTGGGACTGCCACATATAGGTAGGATATGACAAACAATAAATTGTTTCTGAAGACAACTTACATTCTTTGGACATTCCCACTTCAAAGCACTTCTGTAGTCTGCAGTACTGGCAGCGATTTCTGGTAACTTTATTGATAACACAGTTTTTATCTCTGTGACATGTGTAAACCATGTTCTTCTGGATACTCCTGCGGAAAAAGCCCTGAAATCAAGAAAAAAAGAAATCAAATAAACTTTTGAGCTTCCCATAACCCTTAGAGACAGGCACTAACATAGCTTTAAAATAACAAAATAAATTCAAAGTTATGGCTGGAGTATGGCATCTTTGAAGACTCACTCTTATTATAATTTAGTACCGTTTCTTGCAACATAAGACTCATCTCTTAAATAAAAACTAATTAAATAATGCAACCTAGGGCCAAAATAAACAAAACTGGAACTAGTAACAGCATTCAGGAAATGAAGTCCTAGATGTCACAAAAAAGCTCAAATAAAAACAGTTTGGGCTTATGGATGTAGTAATGAGTTGCGTAAAAAACAGCCTTCCTAACAGATCTGCTTGGAAGTCAACCTCTCATCCAACAACCAACAGCCTCTCCCAGCCTAAAGGTCCCGTCTATTTCTGTTACTGCAGAGATTCACTAGATTGAATGCTGCACGTAAAAAGAGAAATAATTTGAAACCCAGGTCACTTAGCTGCTGGAACTCCTGCAGCAATTAATGAGGCTTCTGCAGGTGGAAGAGTTCCAGCATCAGGTTACTGAGTTGTGAACTTGTAAAAGTTGCCAATTACAGCATTTTTTTCTTATTCAGATACAGCTGTGAAAATAATCAAGTAATTACAATGATCTTGAACAGAAATTAAAGAGAACTAGAGGTCCGGTTTGTACTTAAGGAACACCATTTGACTGGATTCCTCCTTCGGCAAGTAAAAGAGAGATAAACAGCCATAAATGGCACGGTTAGCTGGCATGGAAAAAAGGCAAAAACCAAGTTAATTTCTCTATCTGCACTAAAACCCAAACTTTAGATAATATCATGTAATAATGAAGAAAAAAAAAAGAGGATTACTTCAAGCATTTTAGAGCTCAACCCACAAATATTCAGTGAAAGTATTTCTGCAACAGACATTTGGAAATTTGACAGCACTATTTAACCTTCTCACTCAGATTTTGAAAATCGTTTCAGCAAGCACCAGGGTCAAATTTCAGTCAACATCGTAGCATTATGGAGGAATAGTTAGCAATTTAATATTTGTTGGAGGGCTTGAGAGGTTAAAACTCTTCAACCGGCCACATGTTTACACCCTACAGGGAAGCGGTAAACTTGATGCCACAGACGATAGCTCTGTGCCCACAATAGATTTGTCTGAAGATGCAATCATGGTAAGCTATAAAATTGGCTCTCCTAGAAGCACTCATCAAGATATGTGAGTAGTTCAAAAGCCAAAAACCCTATCGTTCAGAGTTAACTGGGAGAGTTTCTGGCCATACGATCAGGGAGTGGTAGGACAGGCACAGTCAGTAAGGGCTGGTCATAAATTCCTTGCACACCCAACATGCTATAGATGCTAATGTTATGAAAATATCTCAAATTCACTCAGAACTGAAAAATGCCTCCTTAATCACGTAACCCCTGGCAATAGTTTTCTGCAGCTCTTGCACAGGCAAGCCTCATCCTGAGGTTAGCTCCTCTGATTAAGAAGATATTTAATACTACCATCAAAGAGGTAAATAAAAACTCTTCACTCCTTTCTTTTCCTTAAGCTATTGGGCACAGAAGAAGAATTTAAAGCTATTTGTTTAAACAATTAAAACCTTTCAAGTTATCAGTAACACTGTTATTTTATACTCTACACTTTTGATTATTAACACTGCTTGAACCTTTGCAATGGAAAGCATGGCAAGTGTGTGTACATTTGTTTACCTGCCGAGAAGAAAATTTATGGTAATATTCACTGACTACTTTCTTGCTTTGATATTCTCGTAATTGTGATGCCCAGGTCTGTGGTAATTGCCGAGGATGCTAACTAGAACTGTGAGAAGTCTATGGCATCTATTTTGGTTTGATTCAACAGACAGAAAGCGTGAGCTGTGCTGGTTCAAGGGTCTCTGTAGGGCTTATTCGGTCACCACTTTTTAGCTGGAAAGAGGTTGGGGAAGCCAAGACTGACAGCTTCTCCTGCAGCCACCCCAGCTTAATCCAGTGCTGCATGTAAATCAGAAACTCTCCTACCACCAGCCGGACAGGGCAGGAAACAAAATTGCCCAAATGGACAGAAGTGACCCTCTCTTGCAGCAACTGTCTCACCATGCTGAACAACTGGAGTAATTTTAAAAAAAACAAACAAACAAAAAAACAAACAGCTCCCAAAGCCTCCTCTTCGCCTGCACATGTGTTGGGGCAGAGGCTGCTCTGCATTTGTGCTCAAGAGACTTCTGCTTTACTGACACAGGTACTACTCAAACAAAATACGAGCTTCAAAAGTGTCACTCAATACAGAGAAAAGAGGAAACAGCCTCCTCCAAATATACCTGTACTTCACCAAAATACAACCAGTAGCTAACGGCACCCAGTGGTTGATCCGTTGTCCTATTTAGGCATAGGTTCTGCATCCTTTTAACCTGGGGTTTAATTACAGCCCATGAGGAAGGAAAGCAGAGGAGGCTGTCTCAGTCCTTACCATACGAAGCTGACCACACAGCACAACAGAAGAAGGTGATCCAACTTCTGCAGACAGCAAGTATAAAGCATTCATGAACTCATTGCTAATATAAAAGGCTTAAGAAGAACAAACTCAGAAAAAGCATATCTCCAGGTCAAAATGAAGACAGTCTCTTCAACAGCTTAACCTCCTTAGGCAATATCCTCCACAGAGTGAAAGATACAGATGAGGATATTAATTGTGGAAGCTTAGACTGTTGTTTTACAAATTGTTTTCTAACACCTGTATTTGATTATCTTCCAGGAGTAACTCGTGAAACAGAAAGAAAAACGAACTTGTTAATGTAAAGGTATTCAGGTGAAAAAAGGTATAACGTGGTCCTGCTCAAAACTAATGACCTGTTTCTCAACAGCATGTTCGTGCCCACTCTCCAAGTACTTTTCTCTAAGACAGCAGTGGGATACTATTTCTACTAAGATTTGTGGCAAGCTCATTTTAAAACCTCAGCAATACGTCAGTGAAAAGATTTGATCTTTAAATTTTCCTCTGGGCAGGCACTAAAAACATGCCCAGATAATACTATTTTATTTCTTTGCATGCAAACCCCAAACCAAAGCCATCAATAGAGGGAGTGACAGGAGTTCAAGCACTGGCGTGTCAGAAGCCCTTGGTGGGTGCTGGGCCTCAGTTTCCCCACCTGCCTCTACAGCCACAAGTTTTGGGTGGCACTTCAAGTAAGGTCATGCCCAGAAACATTTCCCAAATCTGACACTAGGCTAAAAACAGCAGACAGCATCCTGTCTATCCCTCCATGGGAATTTGCACCTCACCTGCTTTGGTTACCTGCAGCTCGAGAAAACCCTGCAGGACAAGAGGATGAGCAGAGCAGGCGCTTGCTGCCCAGTTAAACAGAAAAGCACATTAAAACCATTTCAAGGCTGGTTCCAGACAGCACAGGTATAATACACTGGCCTGTTCACTACAAATAGCAAAGAAAGAAGCAGGCCCAAGTTTTCCTCCAAGTGCTTTTTGTCAGATGACTTCCATCTCATCTCACAACCCCAACAGTTTCTTCAAAAACCAAGAAAATCCAAATGCAACCTAACCTTAAGAAGTTGTCAGAAACTTCAGAGATGGCAAACCACCGCTGCTTATAAATTAATAAACTTCTAGCGCCTACTGGCTCTTAGAAAACAAGCTACTACTTACTGTAATACATTCACCTCGAAAGCAGTCTGTTTGGCTGAATATTTACATGTGCAATTTTTTATGCAAATATTTTAGCATCCTGTCCATCTCCCTGTGACAGGAGATGAGACGCTCCTGTGCCAAAACCAAGCACAAATAATTCTTCCTTTGTAATTTAAAATGCCTTATGAATATATAAAAAAAACATTCTGTGAGACATAAAGCATTACTGTCATATATAATTGTTTTCGATAGCACCTACAAAGTACTTGAATTTAAAGTAGAGGAAGCTACTGAAGACCTATCAGAACAGTGATTTGCTCTAATATTCCTTTTATCCACAACTTTCAAAAGGAACATGGATTTTGTGCTTTTATTTTAGCAAAAACAAAAAAAAGCTTTGCAGAAATCACACTTGAATTAATTCAGTCCTTCTGAGCTGCTTTTATCAGCATCCTTTAACACAGAGCATTTTGGACAAACATTTCAATTTTTAAACTCATCTTCTCTGCACACCACGCCACGCTCCTCCCAGGCCCACCAATCTTGTTATCTTAATGGATGACAGATAGAGTATCACTCTGACCATGCCACATTAGGCGTCCTCATTTACCGAGTGCAAGGAAAAAACGCTGAGTATAAATTATTCAGAAATGTATTGTATCAGCGTGTGTTCTCTGAGCATCCACCACTGGCAGAGCAGACAGATTATTTTTCACTTTTAATTGTGTTGATATCTTATCTGCCACACTGAAAGCAGAGAGTGATACGTGAAACCATATGTATCAAGCAGCAAATAAACCCAGTTTACTAGGTCTGTTGCTTGGAACTAAATAACTTATTTAGTCAGTCTAACTTCAGCACAATGCCAGAAAACCCCACCTCATCCCACTCACCACTTACTCTTGTAGAATTTGCTTGTGAGTGTGTCAAAATTAGAGAGCTCAGTACAGATCAGTGGTGGCCACTGAGAATATTAACTATTTCAGTAATATTTTGAAAGCCATTATGCCACTGGCTGTCTGAATACAAAGGAGCTCATTAAGGATGAGCCCTCAAGATAATGTTAAGTGTTTAAGCTTATGAAGTCTTTCAGAATTGTTAACATGAAGTGCTATCCTTACATATCTCATAGGGAATCTATACAACTCCCTCTCCTTTGCTGTCCAGTTGATTTTGGCAAGTCAGATGATTGACAGCTCAAGTTATACACATCGCATGAAGAGATGGATCATTTGATCTCAACAATGTCTTAAAAATATCTTGCCAGCATAGGGCATGCCAAATCTTATTTGCAGATGTAGTGGGCTTACAAGTTGAAAACTTGCACTGCAAGCCGGGGACAGGGT